AAAGGTCTGTCTAGTCAAGGCTATGGTTTTTCCAGTAGTCATCTATGGATGTGAGAGTTGGACTGTGAAGAAAGCTGAGTGCCGAAAAATTGATGGTTTTGAACTGTGGTGTAGGAGAAGACTCTTGAGAGTCCCTTGGACTGCAAGGAGATCCAGCCAGTCCACCCTAAAGGAGGTCAGTCCTCGGTGTTCATTGGAATGACTAATGTTGATGCTGAAACTCCAGTACTTTGGCCAAGTGATGTGAAGAGTTGACTCATTTGAAAATACCCTGATGCTGGGAAAGATTGAGGGCAGGAGGAGAAGAGGACGACAGAGGATAAGATGGTTGGATGGCATCACCGACTCAATGGACATGGGTTTGGGTGGACTCTGGGAGTTGGTGATGGACAGGGAGGCCTGGCATGCTGTGGTTCATGGGGTTGCAAAGAGTCGGACATGACTGAGTGACTGAACAGAAGAAAACTCATTGCTTTTCAGTTTAGTTTTTTTCTTTTTGTGAGAATGAGAGTGCAAGATCTTTGCATGTCAGAGTGGAAATTGAAAGGAAATCCGCTGTCCAATTTGTATGTTTTAAAGTTTGCTTAAATGCTTTGTGGCTTTGGATATCGTCAATCTTGGTAAATGTCCCACATGCATTTGAAAATAATGTGTATTCTACAGTTTTTGAGTATGGTATTTTATATGTATCAAGGTCAATTTGATTAATGTTGTTTAATTCTTCTATGTCTTTATTTTTTTTGCATGCTTACTCTTGGTAAACTTGCTCAAGTATGATCCTGGATTTTTTTTTTTTTATCTCAACTCTTGCTTCATGATCTCTCATCTCTCAACATATGCTTTGTATGTTTTGAAGCTATGCTGTTATGTGCATATAAAGCACTGTGGAATGGTCCCTATTTTTTTTTTATCATATTGGATGTTTCTCTACTTGATTTATACCTTTTTATTACTGTCAATACCTTGTCATCTTTTAATATGATTTATTTTTATAATGTTTGCATTGACTACTTTCTTTACTTTTTAATATCCACATATTTTATCTTTTGCTTCAGCCTTGCATAATTACCTTCATATTAGGTTTGGCTTATTTAGTAAAGAAATCACAACTGAAACAGCAAGTGTAAATACAATCACTGCTGCCTAGTTTAGGAAACTCAATAGTAACTCTTAAAGATCAACCCACTTGCACACGTAAAACAGGTGAATTAAATACAAGTGTAATTGGTATATTATCCCAGGATAATTAAAGGTTTTATCATAGCACAGATATTTGTAATTCCTCCAGATTCAAACAGTTGCTCTCAGGTTACTATTGTTGAAGCAGTTGAAGCTTTATTAATAAAACTTGATAAGGATAATCTCTGATTTATTACTATTCAGTCATTTGTATTACCTCCAAAAACAGTTGGAAGACTCCACTGTACTAGGGGTTTTGTGAAAAGATATATTATTTTTAATTTATATTTTTACTATAGATCCAACCTCTAATTAATATAGATCCATTTAGTTTTCTTGTTACTTTTGTTAGTGTGGTTTTTCAAGGAATTTTCCCATATTGCTAAAATTTTCAAATTTATTGATATAAAGTTGTTTATATGTTCATTATTTTTTATGTCTTTATGAAAAGATGGGCTTCCCTGGTAGTTCAGCTGGTAAAGAATCTACCTGCAATGCAGGAGACCCCAGTTCGATTCTCCAGTGTAGTTCTTGATCATCATTGGTAGGTGTTTATCAGTTCTTTACAAGGAACTTGGCTTTAATTTTCTTTTTAGTGTTTATTTTTTATGTCTTTGGTATTCTGTTTTTTAATTCTGCTGTTAAAGATTGATTAGCTGTTATCTTTCAAGTTTTGTGACATTATATCTTATACAAAGTATTTTTAGTCTTTCTCCTTTCCTTCTATGTATCCCCAAAGCCAGAAATTTTCATGTAAGCTTTTGCTTTAACTCCGTTCTACAAATGTAATATGTTATATTTTCATTCAGACCAAAATATTTTCAGTTATACATTTAAACCATGCTTGGATCATGGCTGTTCTTTAACTTTGAAGCAAATAACTATTTTCTAGTTTTTTTTTTCTTCTTTATACAGTTTTAATTCTGCAAGTAAGGAATGTTATGCAGTTATTTTTCGCATTTGTTAAGACTTCCTTTATGACTGTAGATATGTCTATTTTGGTAAATATCATGTGTGTGCTTGTGTGCTAAGTTGCTTGAGTCATGTCTGACTCTTTGCAACCCTATGGACTGTAGCCTGCCAGTCTTCTCGGTTCATGGGATTCTCCAGGCAAGAATACTGGAGTGGGTTGCCATGCCCTCCTCCAGGAGATCTTCCCAACCCAGGGATTGAACCACGTCTCTTATGTCTTTGCACTGGCAAGTGGGTTCTTACCATAGGGCCACCTGGGAAGCCTGTTTCAATTAGGTTAATTTGATTAAGTTTGCTTAAATCTTATACTTTTTTTTTTGGTCTAATGTATTTGTTGATGAAAGAAAGTATGTTAACACAAGTAGATTTTGAATTTTTCTACTCCTTTTTGTTCTGTTGGTGTTCGTTTTATATATTTCAAAGCTATTTGTTAAGTAGATACAAACTCCTGCTGAATTTTATCATATTAAATATATCTTTATCTCTGTAACAACTTCATCTTTTCTGCTATTAATATGGTTTATTTCCTTTCTTTTGCCAGTATAAATTAGTAAACTATTGTCATTAATTTAGAGTAGAAGTTCTTTCCTCTCAGTTCAGAGGAAATTTAGATTCTGATTTGCATTTAGAGCCAATAAAGGGCAGTGGGAGTATGTCTTGAGGATATTAGACATGCCCTAGCGGGATAATTTCCCCAGCTGAGATAATTACAGGGTCTCTAGCTAGAGGTGGCTAGGCTTCTCAGACAAGAGGATTCTAGGCACCTTCCCTGGTAAAGGAGCGTCAGGGGTACTTGGGAGGATCTAGATACTCAGAACCAATCCAGTCCACCTGGAACTCCCATTATCAAGGTCAAAGTTTGTTTGCTTTTTTTGTCTCAATCAGATTTCCCACTACAGTCTTGGCAAATCTCGATATTCAACTTATGCTGTGATTCTGAACCTCCACAGTTAAAGTTTGGTTTTGTTTGAAGTTGGCTCTGTGGCTAAAGGAGAGATTTTTTTTTAAGTCTACTGTTATCAGCAATCTGAGCTGAAACCTTAGAGCCTTGAGCCTCATTGTGCAAAATCTCCATTAGAATTTAGTACACCCGTTCCACCCCTCAGTCTTTGAGATACTTCTAGGCATCATCACAGCCCTCCCTTGGTCCCCCACACACTAGCTTCAATAGGGCACTTCATCACAATCAACACTGAGTAGAAATTTAACTAATTGTGATGTCATTATGAGCCCATCCCCCATTCAACAGGAGTTCAGCAGTGTGTTAAGGCCATGGACATACCTAAGCGAATCCCAGAGACCCATTTTATCTATCTCTCTTGGCAGCACTCTTGGTACCAAGTCCTGTATCTGTCAAGATCTAGTCCAGAAAAGAAAAACCCACCAAGAGTAATTATTATAAGGAATTCTTGAAAAGGTTTTAGAGGGCTGAAAAGGTAAAAAGGGAACACAGAGGTATGCAGGAGTATGAATTACCAGAGAGAGTTGCACCCCTAAGATTGTGGGAACAAAGGGAAGAGATTGGGGTTTTCATAACCTAGAAGCTCTCACAGTGGCCTCATAGGTCTGAACCTGGACAATAGAAGATAGAGCATTACCAGCCCAGGTGATGCTGGTAATTTAGGAACTCAGAAAAGTTGTGTGGAGTTGATAGCTGTACTTCCTATTAGGTAATATTGAGCTGGTACTGGTTCCTTAGGCACTTGGAAGAAGGTCCTTTAGAACTCTGACACAGATCTCAGAGACAGAGGGTTACTCCTCTCATGGAGCTATCAAGCCTGTATCAGGGACCTTTGTGGTATAGCCTGAAACATCTGAGGAAGAGATACTGGCTGGCTGGTATAGGTTGCCCACACTACTGGAAGATAGCTCTGTACATCTGGTTCTGAGCCCTCTGGGGAGAGGGCACTGTCCACTAGGTGCCTTTGGTAGGAATTGATGGAGCTGGTTCTGGGAATGTGGTAACATTCTCATCACCAGAGCAAGATACCATTCAGGGCGGAGGGGGAAAGTCACTGCCAGTAACAGCAGGCAAACAGCAAGAGCCCCTCGTCCTTCCCTTTGGCTTTATATTCTCCCTCTCAGGCTTTTCTTGACAGCACTCTTCAGGAATTCAGCTAGAAATGGGGAAATATAATGTGCAGATTCCCATCTCTAGCTCCATAGAAAAAGTATAAACTTTAGCTTTAGGACTCAGAAAATAGTTGATAATCAGTAAAAGCTATGTCAGCAGAGTTCTGCTAATAGTGTCTGTGGTGACAGGTAATATATAGGAGGTGATAAATGATTTGTGTGACACTCTCTGATATTTTCTGTTGTTTTATTTAGTTGTGGCTCACTACATTCTTCTCATGACCCTGAATGGTTTGTGACCTAAGTGTAAGAAACTCTGAATTCGCTGTGACTAAGAGTAAGATTTACAATGGCTCTCTGCATCCCCGAAATGCCTTCTTTCAGTAAGCAGAATGCTTGAGTGCACCACCTTTGACCTGCTGATATGTAGATCACAACATCTGATGCTTCCTGGAATTGCCGATTACTGTAACTGCTGCCCATCTGTCAATGAAGGAGCAGTTTCAGAACTCAGACTTGGGGGAGGAAAAGTAACTAATGGTATGTACCTTTAAGAACTCCCTCATACATGAAATCACACTTATAATACTTTGGTCCATATGCACATGTGAATAAAAAAAAGACATTTAGAAGGGTCTTCATAATTGTTGGGAGGGGTATGTACAACATGGCAAAGTGAAAAGACAGCTAGAAATAAATGCTCTGGATTTTTTAAAGTGTCTTTTCAGTGCAGTGCCCTGGAAATTATAACTGCACAGCTTTTCAGGATGCTTCTCTTTGGTGAAAATGTATTTTCTTTTGAAAACATAATGGAAAGATATTTTATTCTAAGAAAGTAGAGTTCTAAATCTTGAGATCTAAAAACACAGACTTCATGTTTGTGCATTAGTAGTCCAGTGATCCCTAGTTAAATGGAATTATTTAATAATAGGAATTGCATAAGCTTTTGAGTCAGACTTACTGGATTAAATTCCTAGTGCTAAAAGTGGTTAATTAAAAACAAGACTGGATAATTTACTTTCCTTCTTTATGTAGTACATCATCTATTTATTTGGATGTCCTTTGCTTATTTGCAAAGGATTGTCTATAATTAAAAGGTATTTGAATGGCTATTTGGAACCTAAAAAAACTTCATTAAAGATATTAATCTAGTGAATTTTTAACTGAAATCTGAATCTTTTAGTATTTTCATTCATAAAATTTTTTTATTCATAAAACTGATCTTTCTCCAAGGACTTTAATAATCCTTTTTTTTTCTTCCCTCAAGGCTCAAATATAAGTTTTTAAGAACTAGCCGGGAAGATTTAAAATCTTTAGGAGAGAAGTAGTATTTCACTTGTTTGGCTATTAAACCTCATTGTGAGCAAGGAGAAACTGAATACAGAGTGTAACTTTGCTAATTTTTCTCCCAAAACATACAGTGTGATGTTAAGGTATTTTATATGCAACAGCAAAGGATGAGTCTTCCTCAGAGTAAAAATATAGCAGATTGGTAGCAGAATCTATCAATTTGTTTTTATTTTTTTTAACCAACTCTACCAAACACTTTTGAATGAAGTAAGTAAGTGTAAGTGGAGAAGGCAGTGGCACCCACTCCAGGACTCTTGCCTGGAAAATCCCATGGATGGAGGAGCCTGGTGGGCTGCAGCCCATGGGGTCGCCTTGAGTCGGACACGACTGAGCGACTTCACATTTGTTTGGCTATTAAACCTCATTGTGAGCAAGGAGAAACTGAATACAGAGTGTAACTTTGCTAATTTTTCTCCCAAAACATACAGTGTGATGTTTAAGGTATTTTATATGCAACAGTAAAGGATGAGTCTTCATCAGAGTAAAAATATAGCAGATTGGTAGCAGAATCTATCAATTTGTTTTTATTTTTTTTAACAAACTCTACCAAACACTTTTGAATGAAGTAAGTAAGTGTAAGTGGAGAAGGCAGTGGCACCCACTCCAGGACTCTTGCCTGGAAAATCCCATGGATGGAGGAGCCTGGTGGGCTGTAGCCCATGGGGTCGCCTTGAGTCGGACACGACTGAGCGACTTCACTTTCTCTTTTCACTTTCATGCATTGGAGAAGGACATGGCAGCCCACTCCAGTGTTCTTGCCTGGAGAATCCCAGGGACGGCAGAGCCTGGTGGGCTGCCCTCTATGTGGTTGCACAGAGTCGGACACAACTGAAGCGACTTAGCAGCAAGCGTGAGTGGAGACGAGGCAAGATAGAGGTCTTGAGGAGTTTGAAGTAGCTGCTTGGAATAGAAGAAAGAGTTAATTACTGATGCTGAGGAAGATTCTGATACTACTTGAAGTGCAGGTAATGTTAGAGAGAAAGGGTTTTGGAGTGACACCAGTTCAACGTAATTAATGGTACAATAGTGACAAAGACTGGTATGACTTAAAGATCCTTGGCAATGAAATTTTCTCTTGTTACCACATCCTATTTCTGATGAAATAACAATATAAGTTATTTTCCTCTTTATAATGCTTCATTTTTAATAGTCCCCTTTCACCTCACACATTTCCATCATAGTATCCCCAAATCTGTAGCAGATACCAAGGATATCATGAAGGGAGACATGGAAAGGAAATCTGGTCATTAGGATTTGACATATATCAGAGATGCTTTCCCCTAGAAGTTTCATCTAGTATTCTTGGCTTCCAGTAGCTATCCATTAGTTCTGGTAAAGTATCTAGGAGTATCCGGGTGTTCTTGACATTGTAATGCCGAGAGTAGTCTTATGCTCGCTACGATTGACCCCATTTGTGTCTGTGTTTAGAATATTCAGGCCACCAGTGTATGTTCTGACGTGTCTCCAATTTTTTTTAATCTTTTGTTTTCAAATGTTAAGCAAATTATTGATACTTTTAACTGAATGTCAGAAAATGAACAAAATTAGCTTTTACTTGAGTTAAAATTTGTGTTTTCAACAGGTATGAAGTAAGTCCATTCAAATTGTGATCTCTGAATACTTTAGATTTAAATTCTTCAGTCTAACGTTCTCTAGAGAATTCAGCTAACTCGCCATTCATGTAAAATATAGAATGGAATATATCTATACACAGCCAAAGTGAGTCTCTTATGGTTGAGAACATGATGCAACAGGGCTAGGTGCAGAGAAGGCTGCTGCTTCCATGCTGTGATTAGAGGCAACTGGGTTGTTGACTTGTCCCCAAATAACAGCCTCATTCCTATTACCTTGTCAATATAGCTGCCTTCCTTGGAATGTCCAGGGGTTTTCTGCAGACAAGTGTGTGTTATAAAATACATGTTTGTCTGGATTGAGGGGGGGACTCCCAAAACTCATGAGTCCCTTTAGTGAGACTTACTTTGACTTCTAACCTCAAGCAGAATGGGAGCTAGATAAGACGTCTGTAGAAAAGAAGGGGGAGATGGAGCAAACTGTCTGAATAAAGAAACCAAAAAACGGTGAGTTTTGGATGGGCTGTCTACATGCTTATTGAAGGTAGCAGAGTACCAGTAGACTTTTGGGTGGAGGAGTAATTAGGAGTCAGATGTCAATCTTTTTAACATGAAAAATGTCATGCCAGTGTACATGCTTAGAGAATAGTATATTAATGAGTCCTTATATTAAAACAGGATCCAACAATTACCCATCTATGATGAATTTCNTAGTATATTAATGAGTCCTTATATTAAAACAGGATCCAACAATTACCCATCTATGATGAATTTCCTTCATTTCTTTCCCTGTAAACCTGCTCTTCCCTTATCCCTTGCCCTTACGTAGATATGAGACAATCTCTGGAATTTTATTGATTCAAGCCTTGTCCCAGTTGAAATCACTTTCTCTCCCTCTCTTTCCCTGTCTCCCCTGCCCTCTCTCCCCCAACCACCCTATCCTAGATCTTCTATTTTCACTTCAGCGTTGCGGCTTTGATGGTCCAGCTCTTCCAGTACACAGATCCATAAAGGCCATCCCTGCACCCTCAACAGCTCTGAGGGAGGAGCCAGACCAGCAGTGCCTGATGCCCCGCCCTCTTCTGCCCTGAGCAGGTGGCTCCATAATGACTGTGGCTGAGGCCCTGGTGCACTTCAGAGTCACTCCTCTGCTGCTCTGGTCTGGGGTGTGTCTGTTCATTTCTGGTCACTCTCAGGCCAGGCCCTCCAAGCACTTCTCTTCCCCAGAGTTGGTGATCCCCTTGAAGGTGACTGGCTGGGGCAGAAATGCAAAGGTTCCAGGCTGGCTTTCCTATAGCCTGCGATTTGGGGGCCAAAGACACATTGCCCACATGAAGGTCAAGAAGTTCTTAGTTTCCAGACCCCTCCCAGTGTTCATCTACACAGACCAGCGTTCCCTCCAGCAGGATCAGCCTTTTGTTCCTGATGACTGCTACTATCATGGCTATGTAGAGGGTGTTCCCAAGTCCCTGGTTGCCCTCAGTACCTGTTCTGGAGGTTTTCGAGGAATACTACAGATAAATGATCTTGCTTATGAAATTGAACCAGTTAGGTTTTCTGCCACATTTGAACACCGGGTGTATAGAATAGACATCGATGATACTCAGTTCCCACGGATGAGATGTGGGTTAACAGAAGAGGAAATAGCACGCCAATTGGAGTTGCAGGAGTTGCATAATTTCACTCTGATGCAAAGTTCTTACACAGGCTGGTGGACCCACTTGCGGTTTCTTGAGCTGGTAGTGGTTGTGGACAATCTTCGATTCATTCACTCGGGAAGCAATGTGTCAGTAGTACAAAATGACATAGCTAATGTTGTCAACATAATAAATAGCCTGTATCACCCTTTGGATGTTCATGTAATTTTAACTGGGCTTGAAATCTGGACTGAAGGAAACCTAATTGCCACTGATAACATGGATAAAATGTTGGAGGATTTTGCTCTTTGGAAGTTTTTTAACCTTGATAACCGATTGCCACATGATGCAGCCCATCTTTTGGTAAAGAAATCATTTGGCAGGCAGCTTGGACTTGCCTATGTTGCTGGAGTATGCCAGTATCCTCTTAATTGTGGAGTTGCTGCTTTTGAAGATGATAGTCTGTATGATTCTGCAGTTATTGTTACCCATGAACTTGGTCATAATTTAGGTATGCTGCATGATAATCAATCTTGTGTGTGTGAACTTCAGTTTTGCATAATGTATCCTGCCAAAGTGGTAACAAATAAATTCAGCAATTGTAGTTATGCCGAGTTTTGGAACAATGTGATGAGGAGTGGGGTTTGTCTTTACTCTCCTCCAAATCCAGCAAATATTGTTAGGATCAAGTCTTGTGGGAACCTAGTGGTCGAAGAAGGAGAAGAGTGTGACTGTGGAACCATAGGCCAGTGTGCACGTGATCGCTGCTGTCTGCCAGATTGCACTCTGAAGCCTGGAGCTGCTTGTGCTTTTGGGTCTTGCTGCAAAAAATGCAAGGTCAGGTCAGCAGGGACTTTGTGCAGAAAACAGATCAATCAATGTGACCTTCCAGAGTGGTGCAATGGGACATCGCATCAGTGCCCAGAAGATGTATATGTGCAGGATGGGCTTCCCTGTAGTGACAGTGCCTACTGCTATAAAAAGAACTGTGTTAACCATGATGAACAGTGCAGGGAGATTTTTGGCAAAGATGCAAGGAGTGCATCTCCGAGTTGCTACGAAGAAATCAACACCCAAGGAAATCGATTTGGTCACTGTGGTATCAGCAACATAGAGTACATAAAATGTGCAGTCTCTGATATCCTGTGTGGGAGAGTTCAGTGTGAAAATGTGCGAGTAATTCCTAATCTGATTGAACATTCCACAGTGTATCAGTTTTACGTCAATGACACCACTTGCTGGGGCACCGATTATCACATAGGAATGTCCATACCTGATATCGGTCAGGTGAAAGATGGCACAATGTGTGGTCAAAAAAAGATATGTATTGATAGCAGGTGTGTCAGTATGGTTCCTTTGTCACACACCTGTCATCCTGAGACCTGCCACATGAAGGGGATCTGCAATAATAAGCAACAGTGCCACTGCAACCCTGGATGGGCACCTCCTTACTGCAAGGATGAAGGCAATGGAGGTAGTAATAGTAGTGGCCCACCTGGTAATTCCCAAGATGACGAGGAAGATGAGGCAGATAAGCCAGAACAGGCAGAAGGGGCAGAACAGACAAAAAAAGAGAAAACTCAACTGTGGCTTATTCCTTTGATTTGCTCATTTGTATGTTTCTTCCTTGTGCTTTGTAAGAAGAGTATAAGGAAAAAGGAGCCAGAAATGATGACAGAAGAAGGAATGGAAGAAGAGGAGGTGGAGGAAGAAGGTTACTAAGGCTCCTGCTTCATTCACAAAAAATAAAGAAATCCCTAGTTTTTCTTTCAAATAGTAGAGGAGCATTAGGCATGTCTGACTGCTTTAAGAAAAATTTAAGGATCTCTCATGGCAGGGTCATAGGCATTAATATTTCACTGAAGGATTCCTATCGTATTCTTAACTTACTCTTCAGTGTGTTAATCAATATTAAAAGTTCATTTTTTCCCTCTGGAAGTCATCTCTTTATGTTTCCTGAGCAAAGGCATGGCAAAGTCACATTTGTATGCTAAGGTCTACCAGTTGTAAATATCCTCCCACCTTTGTACTCTTAATATGTCATGTCCAAGATGTGCCGCTATATACCCTATTCCTGTTTTTCCAGCTCTTTTCTGGGGAGCTGCGCCAAAGGGGGGCCAGTAAAAGTAGCCTGGAATGGTGGATGAAGAGAGAAGGGAGTTTACCTTCTAGTGTGCCAATAGTTAGTCTGTCATGTTGGTAGCCAAGCGTGGTTTTGGATTCCAGTTTCGTTGACTCTGTTAGAACCACCCTCATTCTTCATTAGAAGTACAAGCAGCAGCTGACCACTGATGCTTTGAGAGATCACAGTGGTATCTCTGGGGTTAGCAGTGTGGTTCTCCTCTGCATTGCTGGAGCACCAGCAGCACCTGGTCACTTGCTTTCTGTAGATGTCCTGGGCCCTGCTCTCAGAGGACCTCCTGAAACCACCAGCACTCGAAGGAAGCAACTTCTTTCTTTTCCTCCCTTGGCCCTGTGGCTGCAAGATGCTTTCAGTAGCTACTTCATGGTGTAGTTTGAATTCTCCAGCAGCAGACACGGAATTAGAGTTTAGAGAGAAAGGGCGGAGGAAGTTAGCTGTACAGATGGAAATAATACTACCATTTTAGCCTTGGCCAACCTGGCAGCAAGCTCTGGCATAAATATTACCTGACAGACTAGTCTTGAATTGGGCTAAAATGGCCTGGTCTTCATACTTTCCCCTTGCCCATTCTCTGGATGTGGGTGCCCCAAGAAGGGTAAGAGCTTGGCCATGCACCTCAGCAACTGAGGCTGACCCCAAAGAGCTAATATCTGGAGGCTCTATGCTGATAATTCCGGCAGCTGGTCAGCAAGACCTTCCTGGAAGGACAATGAAGGTGGCTGATTTGGAAATTCTGGTCTGACCTTTACATTGCTCTGATCAGCTTTTCTTTCTATGTTTTAAAACAGCTTCTCTGGGCTTCTGGCAGGCACCTCTGCCTGTGGGGAACCACAGAAGAGGGAAGTTAGTGGGATGAAACATGGACCCTACTACTGTGTTTGGTTTTGGAGCTGAGGTTGATTCTTACTGCCTCTCTCCACTATGCATTCTAGTTTCCCACATCTCTAGATAGCATTCTGATGGTTTGGGTTGGATAGTCACCCTGTGTCATTACCCAGGTCCTTATCTTTAAAGTCCCCAAATGTCTGATCACGTTGCCTTTCTCAGGCTAGGATTGCTGAATCTATCCAGTCACAGTCACAATAGAGCTAGAGAATAAGAAGAGACACCTGAGACCACCTGGGTTCTACACACCTGTCCTACCTCCTATGATTAGGCTCAGCTATGCCCATCGAGACTGACCTCTTCTTGCTACAACAGGGATGCAAGAATCCCCGAATGCCCAGGAGGCAGCTTTTATTTCCATTGGGACTTTAGCTTTGTCCCAAGGCAAAAATATGACCCATTTGGTGACTCTGCGGAGCCCAGAGTTGCAGGGGACAGGAAGTAGAAAACACCAGGGGGTCATAGGGAGTGATGGTAAGTGGTGCCACTGCTACGTCCAGCCCCTGGTTCCCAGACCCTTGTAAAGGTCTCTGGTTTTTGTGTACAGTCCATCCTGGGACGGTTCCTGTGTTAGAGTTACCCAGGGAGACAAAACCAAGAGGCTATGGAGATTTCTATATTTACCCTTTGCTCAGAAGAGGAAGCAAAGTCCTTGGGTGATATTTATTCTTCTCAAAATCTGGTAACTTGAACACTATAATGGGAAATTAATCATGAGATATTATGATATAAATTCAATGTGCCTTATGCTACATGGTAGAATAAGAGGAAATAACAAGAAAAGACAAGAAATATGATTATAAAAATATACCAAAATAAGGATGACATACTCATGACATATTCCAATCCTTGTTTCTATAACTGCTCATATGGTTGTAGCTGGTATTTATGACCATCTTCTTTTATTACCCATTTTGTTCCTTTATCTTCAGCAAGTACTTTATCTAATCATGGTTCTTTATCTGATGGGGGTGATCCAAACCTTTATTCCTGGAGGGTCTGGGCCAATCCAATCTGCCATTGACCTTAATCACAGGGCATGGTAATACTGAGAGATACCCTAAGATATTTCCTGTGTTCCAGACCTTCTCTTCTTTACCTTTGTTGTGGAATAGTAGTCCAATTTCCCCTCATCACCCCAGTCATCACCATAGTTCCATTCATTGATTCAGAGGCATGGAAACAAAATTGTCTAGGTGGCAGTCTTAACTTTCTGTTAATAAGCTCACTGTTGTATCTCCTGGTGGAAGCATTTCCCCCTCTAGGACTAAGATTTCTAGGCTAGCAAAGTGTAAAATCATAATAGGAAGCAAAAATTTTGCTAGTAGGTCACTAAGGTTAATACTGAGTGTGGTTAATTCCATTCCCACATTGGTTCCTGGACCCTTGAATCCTGGGTATGGAGAAATAGTACCATATATTCGACACTAATTCCGGGCGTAAGCAGCCTTCTGAAGACCCTTGCTTCAATCCTGCAAGGTATGGCCACCCAGCTAGCACTATAACAGAGACTTCAAATGGCTGTTCTGTCAAGACAGCTGCTTCAGGATGGTGGGGAACATGGTAAGACCAGTGAATTCTATAAGCATGGACCCACTGCCGCATTTCTTTTTCTATGAAGTACATTTCTTGATCAGAAGTAATGCTGTGTGGAATACCATGCTGATGGATAAGGCATTCTTTAAGTCCATGGATAGTATCTTTCACAGAAGTACTGGGTGTGGGGTGGGGTCGGGTGTGGGGGGCAGATTACATCCAGGTGTCTACTCCTATAGGAATAAAACGCTTCACCTTGTATATTGAAAGCAGTCCAGTATAATGAATCACCTTCTGATGCACACACTAGGAAGCTGTCTGATCACCCCAGGAAGTATTGCCATATTGGAAGCTCAGTGTTGGTCTCTGCCACTGAAGATTGGGCAGTTAGTGGTGGCTATAGCCTGGTCATTCTTGGTGAGTGGAAGTCAATGTTGCTGAGCCCACGTATAACTGTCAACTCTGCCCTGCCACCATGACTACTTTGTTAATGAGCCCATTGGGTGGTGATAGGTAGCTAGGGAAACAGGCTGACTGGTAGCCACAGAATGAGTCATCCTATCCACTTGGTTATTAGAATCCTCTGCTGAGGTAACCCTTTGGTGAGCATTCATGTGTGACACAAATACCTTCATGTTTTTTGACCAGAGAAGCCCGTCCACATTCCTCTCCCATATTTCTTTGTCACCGATTTTCACATGTTCCTCACATGTCCCTAAACCATTGGCCACAGCCCATGAATTGGTATGTAATCACAGATCTGGCCATTTCTCCTTGCAAGCAATGTGCACAATGAAGTGCACTCCCCAAAGTTCTGTGCACTGGGAGAATTTTCCTTCTTCACTGTGCTTCAGGAATGTCCCAGCAAAGGGCCATAATGTTGCAGCTCTTCACATACAGTTGGTCCATGCATAGCATGCAGAACCATCTGTAAACCAGGCCCGGATCTTCTATTCCCCTATCATCTGATTACAGGGGACTCCCCATGAGGCTCCTCTGCTCACGCCTGACTTGTATATATCACGTCTATTGGATGATGAAATTTTACTACGCAGGCCCACTTTATGGTGTGCTGGCTCAGATAATACCCAATTCATGATGGGCAGCTTGGTAAGCCCATCATCAAGCATTCATATCTACTATGGCCCTATAATATACCAAGAGCTCTTTCTCAAAAAGAGAGTAGTTCTCCAAAGGTGATGGCATAGCCTTGCTCCAAAATCTTAAAGGACCACAGTGCAATTCACCTATAGGAGCCTGACAGCGTCTCCAAATGGTGTCCCTATCTGCTGTAGAGACTTTGAAGCACCACTCCACATGCTGGATCATATGACCCAAGTGGCCGAGCAGTTTGCACAGCAGGCTGGACCTGGGGAAGAATCTTCTCTTCTTCTGGGCCTCCTCAAAAGTAGCACCTTTTCAGGTCACTTGGTAAATGGTTTGGAGTAGCACACCAAATGAGGAATATGTTCCCTCCCAAATCCAAAAAGTCCCGTTGGGGACTGAGCTTCTTTCTGGGTTGTACGAGAGCCAGATACCACTTACTTTTTATCTTAGAAGTGATATCTTGACATGATCCACACCACAGGTTCCCTAAAAATTTCAGAGGTAGGAATGAATGTTGGTCAGATTTATTTCCCTCCCTCTGGTATACAAATGTCTTGCCAATGAGCCTAGGGTAGTTACTATAACTAACTCACTAGATGTAATCAACATAGTATCATCAACATAGTGGGCCGGTATGATATCTTGTGGAAGGGAAAGCTGATTAAGATCCCTGCAAACTAAATTATGACATAGGGCTGGGTGGTTGATAGGTCTCTGAGGGAGAACAGTGTATGTGAATTGCTGGCCTAGCCAGTTGAAAGCAAACTGCTTCTGGTGGGCCTCATAGACATCAATGGAGAAAAAGGCATTGGCCACCTCAGTAGCTACATACCAGGTACCAGGGGATGTGTGAATTTGCTCAAGCAACAAAATCCTATCTGGTACAGCAACTGCAATTGGAGTCACCACTTCTTTAAGCTTACAATGAAGTAATCCACTGTCATTCTCCAAGATCCACCTGTCTTCTGCACAGGTCAGCTGGAGTTGAGTGAGAATGTGGTGTGAAGGACTGCGTCCTTCAAGTCCTTGATGGTGGCAGCAGTATCTGCAGTTCTTCCAGGGATGTGGTGTTACTTTTGGTTTATTATTTTCCTAGGTAGAGACAGTACGAGTGGCTTCCCCTTGGCCTTTTCTCCCATAATAGCCCTCACTGCACAAGTGGGGAACCAATGTGAGGATTCCAGCTGCTAAATATATCTGTTCCAATTACACATTCTACAACTAGGGAAGTAAGCACAGGGTGGGTACAGAGAGGCCCTGGAC